ATGATAAATTATGATGCATATAAACAATAATGTATAAGAGAAACAGAAGAACTGCCTTTGAGGTGAGGGCTTTAATCCTGCAGTCCTTCATTTACCTGAAGAGTTCTGGCTGAGGAGGCTGGAAGCAATGAAAGTTTACGTGTAGTAGGCTTCATTGCTTTTTTTTTTTTTGTGTGTGTGTGTGTGTGTGTGCAAGATCAATCTGTCAAACTAAAAGAAAAATAGACTTCCTGTCCATTACATATACAAGTCCTTGAATTATCTTTAGCGGTTGCCTTTTCACTGAACTGTGAGACAACTTAATTTGAAATTACTCTTTTTGGAAATCCTAAACCCTTGACACATTTCATTAGGCACAAAATGATTATAGGTATCAGTTAATTTGTTTGAAGACTTGGTAAACACTTGTTACAAAGAGTTTTAGAGACATCTAGTAGTTAGCAGAAAAGGGAAGCTGTCTTCAATCCTTAGTTTATTTACTTAGCACTTATTAAGCACCACTTCTGTATCTACCCAAAAAAGAAATATTTTAAGCAAACCGTAAAAGTAGGCTTGACCCTTTCATGGGCATGTCATAAATCAATTGTTAAAGCAAGGGTGAAAACTCTGAAAGAGGTCAGAGGTGGAAGAGAGGTCATCTCTGAGAAGGGACAGTGTGAAAATCCACAAGGGGTGGAGCATAGCTGGAGATAAAGGCTGGAGAAAGGAAATTCTAGAAGTGGTGAGGCTGTTATAGCAGGAAAGCACCAATAAAATCACAGGTATCAAAGTATTGAGGTTATTTCCAGACCATCCGTAAGCCTGCACCTTGAAGTGCCAGATCAGTGATGCCAGCTCATCTTTCCAGTGACAAAAGGACACATTTTTAAAATTGGATGTTTTACTTTTATTTATATGCACAGTAAGAACAATGGTTCTATCAATTTCTCAAAAATTAGAAAAAAAATAGAAAAAATCCTTTTCTTCTATTAAACTTGTCCTGTTCTTGACATCAGTAAGTCAGAAAAGTTTATCCCAGTGACATAATAATTTATCTGAACAACCTTCAATAACTTGGGACCAAGTATAGTATAAAAATATTTGAAATTATTCCATGAACAAGTTCCTTACTCAACACACATTTGACTTCCGTGGCTTTAACATAATGTACCAACTACTAATAAACACGCATTTTCAGGACTGAGACTGCAGACAGAGTGTAGGGAATGATACAGTGATATGAAAGGAAGGCGATATTCTGAACATTTTCAATAGCCTAAACAAAACAACATCAACCACACTAATATGCCTTTTTGTCATCTCTTGGTTTTGTCCCATCTTCAGTCAAAAGGTATTAAATGATGCAACTGTAAGATTTGCTCGGTCTTTAACCAGCCTCAGAGGTTTTTTTATGCTGGTTTTAGCTCAAACTCAGAATTTCAATGAAGAGCTCTATTTAAGCATTTGTTTCACTCAATAGACTAAAGTTTAAATTCCAAACAATTAAAGTTATTCAGATTTAAATGGGAAGATTTCCTGATTGTTTTGTAACTGTGCAATTTATAAGTCATAATGACATTCCTTCACTTTGTCCAGAAAAAACAAAGGCTGATTTATTTCCTAATAACAAAGGCAAATGGTGAGGCTGTATGAAACTGCTTCCTTATTTTCAATGGGTCAGTGCCAGGCTGTTAGGTATCTTAGAATTGTTGTCCATTTCCCCCTCCCCCTCTTTCCCCTTGTATAACCTTCCCCAAAGTTCTCCCAGACTTTGCCAATCTATGGACCACACCACATATGAATTATACTGAGCACCAAGTTATGGTGCATCTGATACCTGCATAGTCTAGTTCCTAGAGATCTTCTTGATATTCATTGTATCAGTATTGATTGCACTGGGCTTACTGAAACACAGCAGAATGCATTCATCTGGCTAATGTATATACCTTCATTGATACTGCATTGTGATGTAAACAATGTCTTGTTCCTTCCTTATAGTAACCTAATTGACAGCCAGGCATTTTGAGTGCTCCAAAGGACTATTGTTGTAGTGAATGCCATAACAATAGGATTTCATATAGGTTGGGGCTTAAGAAAAATACAATGTCCTTTTTCTGATATAAAACCAAGGATTGTGTACTGGTAGAGGGCAGAATAATGGGTTCATCATGGAATTAAGGCTTTGGTTTTCTTGGGAATCAGCTATTTAAGTTTTATATATACACTTGTTTAAAATGTTTGTTTGATTGAATACATATATTGTCTCTTTATATATATATATATATATGAAACAAAAACAAACCACCACCACCAACACACAAACACAGATCTTTTACTCTCCTGAACCATAAAGTGACGTTTTAAAACACTGGCTGTTGGCAATCAGTAGTGAATCTTCCTTTGACTTCTGCAGGGAGCAGAGTTAAAGCAAACAAAATCACACCCTCCAACCGAAGAACAATTTTGTGATGATAGTACTAACAATTCAGCCCATAAGTTTGAGATCTAGGCACACTGTTTCAAAATGCCCTTAACTTTAAGTGCCTTCCATTCTTTGCCTCCCCCTTGAGACAAAATCACTTCCTCTTCCATCTTTCAAATTGAGACACTGCCAGTTACAGGCTGTGTTTGAAGATCTGGCCCTTAACCTTTTGGGTTGTGAGAAAATATTAAAAAACAAAGTTGGAAAAAAAAAAAAAAAAAAAAAAAAAAAGGATGATTGGAAACACTTCAACTAAATAAAATGATTTTCACTTTTTCAGCCCTCTACTAACAGGGGTAATCTGCTGCCTTCTAGTTACTAAACTGGAGACAGTTTTCTGATTGGTGTGCATTTCATGAGGACAGAGGTATCAAGGAGTGGTGGATGGGAAAGTGTCTTCAAAATTTGAAATGGATGCATGTTGAAGTAGACAATATGCTTAATTTATACTGCTTCAAAAAATGACACTTTCAGGCCCCAGCTGGTATTGAACAGACATTCAGCCCACCCTGTTCGCAAGGACTCAAGTCCTTGAAGCAACATTTTGAATGCTATCCTGATGAGCTTTGGCTCCCCAAATTGAGAGGATTTTCTTGAATGGATGGATTTTCTTTCCCTATTGAGACCAGAGCTGAGGAGTGTTGAACATCCAAAGCTTCAGATGAAATCATTAGGTTTAAAAGTGGGTCAAGTGAGACAACATTTTCACTTTTGATGTATTAAAACTATTTAGGCTGAGATTCTCTAAACTGCTGAAGTAGCATGCTTAAGCATGCTCTTCACATTTAAGATGAATGGATCTTGTCTTTTCAGACAGTCTACATTTTAGCTACACTTGAAGATCCATTCTCTAACATGAGGTGGGACAACTGCATAATCCAATACACGTGGACTCTGGCAACAGTAAAAAGCCCACAACTCCTGTTCTGCCAGGTTTCAACAGATGTAGAATATATGTGAAGTTTGTACCTTCAAGGGCATGGAAGTAAATCAAGCCCAGATATTAAGATTTGTCTCTCTCATATGTATGTGTTCAGGCATGTGTTTGAATGATCTTTTCCAAAACACAACATATTTTAAATCATCAAGTTTTTCCCACACATACATTCATATGGTCAAAATTAATCCTTACACTGATTATTTTAATTGATTTAATATGTTTTAAGGGGTGGGGAAGAATAGGATTTGCAATATTCTCCTGCTCCCCTCTATGGCATATTTGCTAGTTCACATGTGCAAACAACACCCTCCTCTCAAGCACTCTTTCCTGGGATTCCTGAAACACATTCAAATAACTTTGCAGAAATGTTTAGCCATCCCAGTGGGAGCTGGACTGTTGTGATGACGGCAGCTGCTGGGTGAAGGATGGAGAAGCTTTTTTGGCACCACTGCCAAGTCCATTAGGACAAGCTATCTCCAGATGTTGGGACTTGATTTGGGTGGAAGAGTAATTTCCTATTAGTGTTATTGCTAGGAATGGGCAGGTTCATGTTGTCTAAATGGGCTCAGACCCAGCAGACTTGAAAATTCAGTAAAAGTTCACATATTATTTATTTTGAGCACCTCTGGGAAGAGAGGAAAAAAACCATTTCTGTCAGAAAAAGAAGACAAAAATGTCTAGTGAAAAGACAGAATCCAGGGTGGAGGACTCAATGCAGTGAAACAGAAACAGAAAATAAACCCAGGCTATAGAATATTAGTCTCCTAAATATAGCTTTCTGGCATTTAAATGGGAAATGTAAAGGGGATTTAAAGCAGGGATTTAAGGAGAGAAATTTCCCTCTTGCAGTCTACCTCTTACTAAGTCAAGCAACCTTTTTAACAAGGATATATGAAGTTGTCCATCCCAGCATTTTATTTTTATTTTTTACCCAGCAAAACAAAACCTCAATCAAGGAAGATGCGGCAGAAGCTTAATCAAGACATGCCGACACACTTTGCTATAAACTTTTACACCTTTTACAAAGTTTGCGTAGGAAGGACCAAATATACAGCCATCATATCAGTGCCTGAAGATGTTCACTGTGTATGTCTGTAGCTATGCTGTTGTGTCCTTGTGCTCCCATTTGGAGAGGGCCATGTAAGGTTAGTCTCCTATGGCTCCTAGCTCTTTTCTTTTTGACTTGATAGATGTATAATGGTTGTAAAAGCTATTAAAAATCACAAAACAAGAGGGAGAGAACAGCTCTGAATCTGTTCTTGGCCTGTGTTGGTCTCTGGTTTTTGAACCTGGTCATATTTCATCTACTTAGAAAGTTTCTTCCCACCAGTTTACAATGTCTATAATAGGAGTTCAGTGCAGGACATTTGCTCTCTGGGAATGGAATATGTGTGTGTTGGTGATTCTGATCTGCATGTGAAAGCTGAGCACATATATGTATATGTGAATATATATGTGTGTGTATATATGAGTGGTACCGGTGCAAGCAGGCTCCATTTGCAGCTGCTTAAGCCCAAACATAAGAGCATGCATTTAACAAAGTTTTCCAGCCAGTCACGTGGTTGAAAGAGGCAAAAGTAATTCATAGACCCAGTCATGTTTCAGTCATCCAGTTTTAACTTGAAAGTCAACTTTAGAGAAAAACGGTCCTAAAAAGAAACTCTCTCAGCAAGAAAAAGTTGGAAGTGTAGTATGGTGTTTTTAAAACAGCCTTTGAAAGAGTAGAAATTCTCCTTCAGACATACCACAGGTCTCCGCATATCTCTCGAGCACAGTGCAACACGAGGAGCACGCGTTTTACAGTTCTAAGCATATTTAATACAATGTTTTTACAGCAGCTGTTGCTTTCACAGAACTTTAACCCCACTGTGTAAATGCATCACAGGGAAAATACTCTGTTGTCTTGGAGACAGCCTTTGCTCACAAGCCTTTTTCCACCGAGCTGGTGTCAGCTTTCAGCCTCGGTCACATTCCAGGCAGACGGGCAAATCCCGGCCTCTACTCAGCCTTCAGGACTGGCTGGCCCTGCTGGAGAACGGCTCAGAAATCCACGGCAATTACCACAGCCCTGCACGATCAGCTTCCACAGCTGCACCTGATGAGAAAAGGAGAAAAATCAGTCCAAAAGGGAAACAAAGAGCAAAAGCGTTCCTGACACCCTATATTTTTTTTTTCTCATAGTCATTTGTTTCTCACTTATTCAGCCCACTACAGAGCCAGGTGTCTTTTTCCTGCTAAATTTGGACCAATTTATTGCCTTAGCTGAGAAGTGTTATGTTACAGCTGACACTTGGAAGATCATTTGATGTATAGTGTGACAAATGCCTGCCATTAAAGGACTCATAGAACTTCTCATCTTTGCTGAAAGCTAATACCAGCTCCTGACTTGACCTGTCCATCTCTCTAGCATGTGCATTCACAACTACACAGCAAAAGTACACAGCAAAAGCTGCCTTTATCACATATGTTTGTGGACACAGCCCAGAGATATATTTGAAAGGCCTGCCTTCAAAAGTCACATATATAAAAGAGAAAGAGTTGGAAACTTCTGTTGAACCCAAGATAATTTGTTTTCATCTTCATTTAAGACATATGAATATGCTTGAAGTGGCTGTGCATCATGCTGGACTAATAATAATAAAAAATGATGCTGCAAACTTCAAATATAGCTGCCACGCATCAAGGAGAGATTTTTCAGAGTTGTGTAGCTGGACCTAATCCTTTGAAGCACTGAATGCAGTGAGTGTCCAAAGGACTCAGGTCTTCCAAGAAAATGCTTCCAACAACTAAGGCCTTATATCTAGTAACCTCTCTGAAAATAGCAAAGTATAGTCATGTCTCTGGCTAACTTGTAATCAACACTTCTTTCCTTCACGTTTAAGCACTGTTTTTGTCATGAGGTAATGCAGAGCCAAAGTAAAGCTAAGAAGTTAATGTTTGTTCCCAAACACCCTCATCAAAGCCCAAATCTAGAACATGTTCCTAACCAGGACTACATTAATTACTGTTTTTAACAGAAACATGTACTTCAGATCCCTTGGTTGAAATGACATTTGCAAAGCATAAGTTTAACGTTAGGAGTGTCCTTTCATGAATGAGAGCCTAGAAGATTAGCTGAATGTTTTTTCAAAATGTTTAAAAGGTAAGAATTCCTGCGTAAGATGGCTTGAGTGAGCAGAAATTTGAGGGAACCACCTGTAACTTCAATGATGTTTGACTGAAGTAAGGACCAACGTATTGTTCTTTCTGCAGCAGAACAACCCTCAAGACTAGTAAGAGTTTTGGCTGCTAAACAAAATTAGGACTGGATTCAAGACTGGAACATGCAAATAAGCTCAGTGTAAACCAGAGATAGTTTTAATATATAGCATTATAGCATTAAAAGAAGGTAGAGCTCTTAAGAACATGTGTGTGTGTCCTAAAGCATCACAGGAAGCTCTTCTCAGGATTAAGGTGTGTTTTAAGCTTGTATTTTAAGTTGTGCATTGTACATCCCATCAGTTTATGTCTCCTATGCTTAGCATTGGGTTACAAATTGTGGAAAGATGCCTTCAGCACAGGTCTAGCTTCTTCCTCCATTTCTTCCTCCCACACACCAAAGTCTCTAGAGGCAGCTCAGCTGGCTCTACCCTATGAAAATCTACAGCACTTCTTTTCCAGCATTTGCTGTGCCAAAGCCTGCTTTGCTGGCAAGCCAGGAGTTGCAGGTGCTGCTGCAAGGCTCAGCAAAGCTAACAAACTGTCTCATTCAGTCCTAGCCACCAGCAATTTCCTTGCTTAAGGCTAGCTTGCCAGCTCAGCAAGTACAACTGCAAACACTGCAGAGGACACCTGCATGATCCCCAGATGATGGTCAGAGCCAGGCTTTCCACTACCCTCTCTGCTCCTTCCCCAAGAAAGGGTTTGGGTACCCTTAGTGGAGTACCTCAATCCTATCCATCTCTGATGATGGCTCCCTGGAGAAACACCAGCAAATAAAGAAAAAAGAATTCCATCTTTCACACTTTTCTCTTGTTTATACTTACTGTGCTAACTGCAACAGGGGATGACGACAAACATAATCACTGATCACCATGATTTTCCTGAGGCAGCAAGAGCCATAGTTTGAGCCCCAAGAAGGTAGGGTGATCCGAGGCCGTTTACAGAACAGTAGCAGCTTCTTAGCATAGAAATGAAGTTAGAAGCATGGAGCCAAAGCCACAAGGCAAACCTCCTCTGTGTGTCATGAGCAGTATTTGGCCTTTCAGAGGATGTTTGCATGTCGGCTTGCAATCTGAAAATGCCAAACCACATTCTGCAAGTGTCACATGCCTATGCTGGATGCAGGAGTTCATTAGGAAGCAGCTGACCAATGCTGTCAAGCAAAAACATAGAGAGAGTTGGTCTGATCTGACCTCAGAGAAGAATCAGTGTGTACTTGACATTTATATGTGTGGCTTTACTGAAAGCGAAAACATATTTCTGACCTCAGTATCACAGGCAAATTGTAACCGTGCATCCTCTGTCCTGGAAAGTACAAGCATTTTTTGAGGTTGCGCTGCTATCTGCCTTGCTTTTAATTCTGCACATTCAAAAGTGCACTTTAAAAGCTACCCACTGACAAGGCAGAGGATTGCAAAAGTAGCTACAAAAGCCAGTGTGACACTTGAATTGCTTCCAGTGAATACTAAGGAGAGGTAATTAGAAATAAATAGTATCTAATCACATCCATTTTGTTTTTGTGAAAGGGTGATCCTTATCTGGGTTCAAATGAAAACATGCATGCAAAAGGTTTGTATCCAATCACAGACTATACAATCTGACATATTTCTAGTCAATATGAAGCAACCCAGCTGGAACTTGGAGGTCTTGAAAGTTCCCAAATAAGCAGGGGCCCAGAATTATTAACAAAATGCATCAGCAAAAAGCTTGTCTCTGTTTTAGGTATTACGTTTCAAAATGGATGTAGATTTTTTTTTTTTTTTCTGATTTAAAACTGAGTGAAGTTAGATGGTTGTGATCTATGTAATTCTAAACCTGGCAACTTTTTTTCATGGACTACACTGGTACAGTTATATATAGTCAGAAAATAAGTTGTTATGTTATTTCAAGGGAAATCTTTCAATGCCAGATTTATATTCTTGGAATTTCATGTTGGTCTTCCAACACGATTAGCTGGTATGTTATTTACCTGTGTCTGACCTCTGGTATCTCCAACCTCTTATCCTCCGGATCTGCTGTCTTTGTCACTTTTTTTTGGTGCACTTAAATACTCATAGTAATCTATAAAATAGACCTTCATAACTTTTTAATTTTTTTGGAATGTTAAACCCAAATTTTCAGTCAACATTTTTTTCTTTTCTGGTGGTTCTTTATCTCTAAGTTCCAGAAAGAAAAATCACAGAAACATAGAATAACAGAATATCCCCAGTTGGGGGGTGACACAAGAGGATCATTGAGTCCAACTCCTGGCTCCACACAGGTCTACCCAAAAATTCAGACCATATAAATAAGAGCATAGCCCAAACACTTCCTAAACTCTGACAGGCTTGGTGCCATGATTGCCCTGGGAAGCCTGTTCCAGTGTACCACCACTCTCTCAGTGAAGAACCTCTTCCTCATATGCAACCTGAACCTCCCCTGTTGCAGCTTGACTCCATTCCCTCGGGTCCTAAATTAGTGTGTTTAATACTTTTTTTTTTTTTTTTTTAATGAAATTATTGGTAAACACTATTGAAACAGTCTTTTTTTTTTTTTTTTTTTTTTTTTTTTTTTTTTTTTTTTGTCCTCTAGCAAACTATCAAACTAGGGAGATAAAAAATTTCCAACACTAGTGCATGCTGGAGTTTAGTTGAAAAACAAAACTTTGTTAATACATGGTCCAGTGAAAGCAGTGCTATACTGTTATGGTAAAAAATGCACTAGCGCATGCTGGAGTTTTCCTGGAAAAAACAAACAAACAAACATCTTTTAATACACAGTCCAGTGAAAGCAGAGCTATATTGTGATGGCATTTATGAAAGCAATAGGACAAAAATTCTGACATTTAACAGTTCCAGATACATCAAAACTTTCCCAGAAGAATGGCTAGGAGAGGGCAAAGAAAGGGAAAGGATAACAGGCTGAAGGTCCCATTATGAAAAGTTAAAATGCCCTAAATGACAAAGCATAGTACTGTGAAAGGAACCAGGTGTCAGATGCCTTTGCTGCATCTTTACATGTTGACTAGTCTCTCACTCCTGAGGGTGTCCATGAGAAGGGTCACCTTTGCTGGTCTTCAGCTTTGAAGCAAGTACCTTTGTGTTTCCACCCTACCCAGGACTGCATGCTTCCCCCTTCTGCCTCTCTGATTGTCCCTTTCTGGGAGGGTTGGGGACCCCCAGGGTGGCAGTGCTTTTGTCCCTCACCTTGGTTTCATCTGCGAGTGCCCCAATACACTCTTGGTTTCTGTTGCTTGCAAAAGCATACCGAAGATGAGAGAGTGCCAGTACCTACCCCTCAGTGGCAGACACAGGAGAGTAGTTCCCATGCAAATGTCCCCTTTAAGCCTGGATATACTGTTTTAAAGAACTGTCAGGAAACCAAAGAGGTGATTGTGTTCCCATCCTGAAGAACTGATACACAACTAGAGGTAATTCAGCTGTTATAATCTTTCCTGACTGCTTTCCTGAGGACCAGTTAACTGAATTTCTTGTTTTTATGTGAGTCTTCCTGTTCTGAAGTGTGATAGAGCATCAGAACAGGCATCGACAACAGACTATTTCAATGGACTTCTCCTGGGAAGTAATTGACAAGAAAAATTGATTTTGGATTATCTGGTATGATAAACATTAACATTAGAATAGATATAACGGCATAAGATATCTTCTGATAACAGGTTTCCAAGGAATCAATTGTCTTTTCTGAAAGGTATGAAACAGTGAAGCAGTAATAAATTAAATCTCTGGGACAAATTACTGAGATCACACAAGATCTGTTTCAAAGCATAATTTCTTTATTGGACAAGTTGGTGAAAGCACATAAAAACTCTTGTGGCCTGTCACCTGCTGACAGTCACAGATATATCAGCTGAGATATTTGGGAAACATGCATTTCAGGATGAGATTTTTCATACTTGGAGATTTTAGAACAGACTGCACTGATGTCAATCAGTCAACAGAGAATAAAGGTAAAGGGGAACAGGAGCTTCCTTATTAGAAATATTGTTCTAAGATACTTTTCAGAGATTTTTATTGACCTAATAAACAACAAAAATCAGCTCAGTGAAATATGAAATAAAATGAGTCATAAAATCATACAATATCCTGAGATGGAAGGAATCCACAAGGATCATTGAGTCCAGTTCCTGACTCCACAGAAGACTACCCAAGAATCAGACCCTGTGTCTGAGACCATTTTCCAAATGCTTCTTGAACTCCAGCAGCACTGTGGCCATGACCACTGTCCTGGGCAGCCTGTCCCAGTGCTTGGCCACCTCTGTGTGCAGACCCTTTCCCTAACCCCCAGCCTGACCCTCCCCTGTCCCAGCTCCATGCCGTTCCCTCGGGTCCTGTCGCTGTCCCCAGAGAGCAGAGCTCAGCGCCTGCCCCTCCACTCCCCTCGTGAGGGAGCTGCAGGCCGCCATGAGGCCTCCCCTCAGCCTGCTCTGCTCGGGGCTGAGCAAACCAGGGGCCTCAGCTGCTCCTCATATGTCATCTCCTCCAGACCCTTCACCAACTTTGTAGCCCTCCTTTGGACACTCTTTAATAGTTTTATGTCCTTTGTACATTATGACACCCAGAACTGCACACAGTACTCAAGGTGTGAGGCTGCACCAGCACAGAGAAGAACGGGGCAATCCCTTCCCTCAACCAGCTAGCAATGCCAAGCCTGATGCACGTCAGGATATAGTTGGACATTTTGATCTCCAGGGCACACTGCTGGCTCATATTCAGGTTGCTGTCAACCAAAATCCCCCAGATCCCTTTCTGCAGGGCTTTTATCCAGCCTCTCATGCCCCAGCCTGTACATACATTTAGGATTGCCTTGTCCCTGGTGTAGAATCCAGCGCTTGCTCTTGTTAAACTTCATACAACTGCTGATTGCCCAGCCTTCTGATTTGTCAAGATCTCTCTACAAGGCCACTCTACCCTTGAGGGAGTCAAGCGCTCCTCCTAAATTAGTACTATCTGCAAACTTACTGTGCATTTGAGTCCTGCATCCAGATCATTTATAAAAACATTGAAGAGAACTGGCACTAAAATGCAACCTGGGTAACCCCATCAGATCAGTACCTCTCCCTCATTCCCCATTGTGAGGAAGTTTTAGTAATGAAGTCAGCTCTCAGTTTCTCTTCTCTAACCTGAAAAAAACAAGTGACATCAGCCACTCCTCATATTTTGTCCCCTCTAGACCGATCTTTCTTTTCCTTCTATGTTTTATTACATTTTAGAAATAATATATATATATATATATTCCAATGAAAAATATTAAAATACCATGTTTGGCTCATTTAAAGAGCATCATATGAAATATTTGACATACAAACAGTCTCTCTTTTCATGAAAAGATTAAACTTTTTTTTTTTTTTCCAGTGAAGTGTCTATTAGATCCAGTATACTCCCCTTTACCAATAACAATGTGCTTTAACACTGACTCAGCATGAGTGCTTCTTAGAGCCAGTGGGACCTTTGCCAGAGCAAGGAGTGGAAGGCATATTCCTAGGGGAAAGGAGAATTATAACAATGGTGCTCTGCTGAAAGACCTTCCTGAAGGAAGGAAAAAAACGCTGTGGGGAAACCTCCAGGTAGTTCTTGTAATTAGAGACAAATTCAGTATCATCTTCCAAACCAAAGAAATAATTGTCTTCATTGTTTCATTTGGAATGCTGGAAAAATAAATAAAAATAAATTTAAAAAGTAAAAATAAAGAGAGAAAAAAAAAAGGAAAAAAAGGAGACAAAAACACAAAAACACTGTTTTTGACCAAGTTCCCTAGGTTTGCCAGGGAACACGTAATACGTACTTAGCTAACCTGTCTGGAATTATACCTAAACCACAGCTGAGTCACCTGAGAGGAGGGAAAGGAAGCATTCACAGAAACAGCAATCCATGCATTAGGCTCTGGCACTTGCAGTCTTAGCTGGCCATGCTGCATGCCCTTCTCCTATCACTACTTCACTTTTTCCTGCAGTGGTAAAATGCACAGTAGAGTTTTCAGTCTCTGGAACCAGTTCGAGTCTAGCACAAGTGGTGATAGCTCTGGTGAAATCACAGGGGACACCCCAAGGGGCAGCACCACCCCTGAC